TAACCATTGTCATAGGGCAACATTTGTAGTAACTGTTAAATGAGAAACTATTTTGTTCTGTAAGTCTTCATCTTAAGTGAGAATAATAGCACAATTGGAAGAGCGTAGTCAATGTCACTGAACTGTGTATGTAGAAATTTTTGAAATGGTGTATCTTTGGCTATGTGTATTTTCCCCAAAAAAAAGAAAAAAGGTTGAGAATTTAGAGAATTTATGTTGTGGGGTTGTTAACCAATGTCATAAAACATGTGTACTACTGTTTCATGAGAAGCTATTTGTTCTGTAAGCCTTCACCTGAAGTACAATAAGATATAAAAAAATAATAATAATAATGTTTCTGTTTTGTTAAGTATTTACCTGGGAGGCCACAGCTACCACTAAAGACCCATTGTCTATGTTTAACCCAAAAACTCAAGTTGTTTTGGTAAATAAATTTCCTGAAGGAGTCAAAGTTTAAGTCTTCTATACTCAAAGATCATTTCCAAAACACCCTTCACAAATTCCACCCCCAAACATGAAGATCAAGCTCATCCTTCCAAAGAACTAGATATCTGGGGCATCAAAAGCACCCTCACCATAAACCCCCATTTGAGTGACTGTTTGGTATTGTCAATTCTGAATGATCTATGCTGTGGCACTTCATGAAAAATCTTTAATTTGACTTCCCCCACTGCTCATCACTATCCTATAGTGCCTTCCCTCCCATCAACTAGCGTGTATCCAAGAAATTCAGACTCTATTTAATCCCAGTCAAAGCAAAGCATCACTAGGAAAACAAATCCATTGCAAGGATACATACCAGTTACCCCAAAACCAAACAGCATTTTGGATCATCTACGCCATTATTTAAGGAGCTCTGGTGGCACAGTGATTAAGTGCTAGGCTGCTAACCAAAAGGTTGGCAGTTCAAACCCACCAGCTGCTCCACGGGAGAAAGATGTGGCGGTCTGCTTCTGTAAAGATTACAGCCTTGGAAATCCTATGGGGAAGTTCTTCTCTGTCCTACAGGGTTGCTATGAGTTGAATCGACTCGATGATACACAACAACAAAAAACATGCCATTATTTAACTCATGGATGGCCCATGTGTGGATGAAATATATGAGCCACAACAGGCTAAAGACTAATGGCTTAGAAGATCAGGAGATAAACATAACCTAAACCAACAATCCATCTCTTCTCAACTAGCATCACTAGCCTCACATCATCTAGAAGCAGCCTATCAAGAAAGACTAGACTCCAGTAGTCTGATGGTTCCTCTTCTTAGCCCTAGTAGCTGAGGGAGCTTTAAGTTCTATCAACAGAAGAGTCTGGTGCTGATATTCTTAACGTGTCCTTCCTACCTCTAGCTTGGAGAGGGACACAGAGGGAATGTTGGCATTTTCCATTTTATCCAGGGAGCGAACAATCTTCTCCAGAGTCTTCCGGTAAAGCTCTTCATTTATGACCCTCACCTGGAAGGAAAACACCAGAGGCTGAGTACCTTGGCTTCTGCCCACTTCCTTCTTGTCAGTGTGGAGGGCATCCACAGCAAGGGGAAATAGGTGATAGCAACACAGTAGTCTTCTACAGAAAGCAAAAGTGAAAAAGATTTGATTAACAAAGAACCCAATTAACAATATAATTAATAGGGTCCCCTGGAGGCAAAGCTTGAGGTAAAGTCAACTGCTTCCTGATTAGCAGAAAGAAGATAAGAGAGTGAAAGCTTGGTTGGCAGTTCAGCCAGGCCTTAGGTCTACAGGTCTAGAGCAGACAGGTGCCCAGTGCCTACTTCGATTTTGCTTGCTGCTGCTAACATGCCCGCAGTGGGAAACTATTCTAGGGCTTTGATTTAAGGCAGTGTTTCTCAAGTTTTTTTTAAACCATGTTCTATCAACCAAGGAGATTCTGTCAAGCTTTCCCTTCTGTATTTTGAATTATAAGTTTTCTCCCCTTTTCCAATAATAAAATCACAACATTCATTAAACTTTTCTCAAAATACCCAGACTCTCATAGATTCTGATACAACTCTACTCACACCCTTGAGATTGGTAAAGAAACACAAAAGTCACTGAAGAAGAAATACAAAGAAATACAAATGAAAAGATGTTCAAATTACTAGTAGTCAGGGAAATGTAATCTAAAAGAATAAATTATTATATAGATATAGATAGATATGTATGTGCATACATATATATATATTTCTTCATTGGGTTGACAAAAATTTAAAAGATTGATAAAATCCAATATTGGCAAGAGTGTGAAAAAATAGACTCATACATAGTTGGCAGAAAATGGTAAGGATTGTTGGGAGGATTATTTAGCAGTATCTAATAAATTTAAAATACATCTGTCTTTGAGCCACTAATTTCACCTCTAGGAATTTCATGCTACAGAAATACTCACACAGGTACACACAGATACACATGTGGTGCTCATATAGTGCCAAAACTTTGGAAATAAAAGGTCATCAATCACATGTTATGGTTCATCCATACTATGGAATACTTTGTAGCCTTTAAAAATAAAGAGGAAGCTCTACCCTTACTGACATGGAAAGATCTCCAAAGACATATTCAGTGGGGGAAAAAAAAGATGTTCTCAGAACAATATGTATAATATGATCTCTTCTATCAAAAAAGAAAAAAATATCCTCTATGCTGTATATAGAGCACTGACACATGTATTTATAAATGCATTAAAAAAAAGTCTGGAAAGATATAGTCCAAAAGCATAAGGGAACTGACATGTATGTAGAAATATAGAGTAGAGGTACTATATACCCCAATAGTGAATTACTTTTATAATGTTAAAACGATTTTAAAAATAATGTTCCTCACACTCAAGGGGGTGGAGAAGACCAGAAAGACAAAAGTGGTTTGGGCTGTGAGAACCAATTCCCCACAGAACAATTACAACAGGTACCAGTTGCCCACCTACCCCAATGTCAAACATTGAGCTGACAGGCTTGTGGTCACTGGTCTTCAGGGCCATGTGGCTCTGGTAACTCAGCTGAGTGATGTTCTTCCCCTTCCAGAGGACCCGGTCACACCAGGCAGGTGCACGACACTTCTCACTGAAATGCAAAGTCCACAGTGGGAGCACTCACAGAGACAGCAGCACCTCCTGGCTGGCTAGCACCCTTGCTCGGTCAGGGAATGACAGGGCAAAGCGTCTGAGTCCACGGAGCCAGGTGATCTGATGAGGCGAGAGTGATTCAGGTCCACCAACGAAAAACACGTATCCTGTGGGAATCATCCAAAACAACTACAAAAGCTCAAAGCCAAAACACTGCCCTTTACTCTCCAGTGGGGATCAGGAAGGAGTCAAAAAGGCAATCTGAGATTAAGTACTTTACGGTCCTTAAAGGATAGTGGTTAAGGGAACAGGATCTGAAGTCCAACTGCCTGGATTCAAATCCTGGTTCTCTCACTTGCATGCTTGAGAGGCTCTCTGTACCTTGGTTCCCTAATTTATAAAAGGAGGATAGGAAATTGTACCTACCTGAAAGGGCTGTTGAGAAGATTAAATGAAATAATACAAATAAAGTGTACCGAATAGTGTGTGGCAAACAGTATTAATAAAAAATATTAACTATCTTGTAATGGAAATATTAACTACCTTGTAATGACTAAGCACAAGCTAACTTAGCTAGAATCATCTCTTCATCCTAAGTAGAGCTGAAAAGTAAATCAGTATCAAGAATTTATTACAGAACAAAGGATAAGGCAGTCAAATTAAATGGAGGCAAAAGGGAAAGAAAGCAGCACATAGGAAGACAGGCTGTTTAATGAGCAGATATGAGGAAAAAAATGTTTGACTAGAGCTCAAAATACAGGAGAAAAGTCACAGGCAACTCATCTTCCTCTTTAGGTCCATAAAGGCAAGTGCCTCCCAGAACCTCTGGGTTTCTATTTGCTCCAGCTCCCTGAAGCAACCTCTGACCTACCTGGTATCCCAGTCGTCAGAGCCAGTATCATACTTATAAGTAGGCTGGAACGTGAGCTCACCCTCTGTGAAGCCTTCAAAGACAGCCTTTGCAGCCACTTGATTTTTCAACTATACAAAACAATGGAAGAAGAAGAAAAAAAAAATTTTTTTCAGAATAAAAAGACCAAACCTTGAACTGGCAGAGAAAAGGAAGTAAATCTGAAATCCAAATTACAACCCAGAGGGAAGAGCCTCATGAGAAAGCTATTCCATAAGACTCTGAGTTAACTAATTACTAGGAAGAGGAGCAAGCTGGTCATTCCTTCACCAGTACAGTTTTAAAGGCTCTAAAGGGTCTCCATGAGTCAGAACCAACTCGCCGGCAATGGGTGTGGGTTTTTTTTTCGGTCTAAGAGTGTACCTGAATCCCAGAGGCCTCAGCACCATCTTACCGAGATGTCTCTAGGAAGATTAGGTACCACCGGACATGGAGTTTTTCCCTCCTTGGCACCAAACACTTCATCTGTGTGTACTATACACAGAGATAGCACTGTGTTGTCAAATGAGGTATGTGACCTGGGGAAAGCTTTGTGCCTTGGTTTCCCCATCTGTAAATTTCGGATTTATAACAGAATCTACTTCTTAGGATTTTTTGGAAGATTAACTTTCAACTTAGAACAGTGCCTGACACGTTATAATAGTAGCTAGCATTCCTCCTCCTGCACTGATGCTAGGAGCTCCTTCCAGATCACATTCCCAGGAAGAGAAAAAACCACAGGTGCTCCTGCCTCTTCCCTGGAGCCCCAAGCTTAGTAATGAGCGGACTGGGGAAGAGCTGTGAGCTCTAACGTTGGGCACAGGGTCAGCTGTCCTGGGGACACGGCTTGCCAAATTTCCTGAAACATAATTTCCCAAAAAATTATTAAAGAAAAAGCAATAGGAAATAATAAAAATGTAAGTATTAATGTAAGCGGGTGCTTCCTGAATGAGTATATAAAGACCTTAAAACCATCTGGAAAGCAAAAAAGACCACACAAAACGAGGACTATAATCTCAGGAAAGACAAGAAAAGGAAGCAAGAAGAGACAAGTATCAAACTACAAGGAGAATTAGAATGCCTCAGTCCAGAACACAGAAGCCATAAACAGAGTTACAGAACTAGCCAGGTTAATGCTGAAATGGGGATTGAAGAGAATAAATGTAATTTACCAAGAAATAAAACTGGAGAGAAAAATGGGCCAATAAAGAGAAGATTATTCTGTAAAGACAGACAACAAAATGGGTTTGTTTTATTTTGTTTTTTTTCCTTCAATTGACCTGCGTTGGGGGGAAAAATGGGTAATAAAAAGATTTAGACTAATGACAATACTTAGCATATTGAAAGGGGGAGAAAACTGTAAAGAAAAAGGACTTTAACATTCTGAACAACTCTGACCACTTGAACAGTTCTGAAATCTATTCAGAGGAGTAGACTGGAGGAAGTTAGAAACAGATTTCTCTTGTACTCTGAAATGGTTAACGCTCTAAGAAAAAACGCTAAGCCAAACCACAGTGGAGAACAGGAGATTACAGAACTGATTCTTGAGGGAAGTGAAGAAAGCCACTCAGAAAGAAGAGTTGTCCACCCATACTAGGCAAGTCTGGTGAGGAGAAGGAGAGAGGGAGCAGGAGGCTCATTCTAAAAAAAATCATTAAATCAGCCTACATATACCAAGTATCTTCCTTACAAGAAGCTTGCTATCCTCTTAGCCCCAATTTAAGACCTCCTGAGTGAGAGAGAGAGTGAGTGAGTGAGTAAGAAAGAGAGAGAGAAAGCAGACCAGGCACCTCAAGGAAAGAGCCAATGGGGTGCTAACTCTGGAAGAGGGAAGGGAAATGCAGATGAAACAAAGAAATGCCTGGACAGCATCAGCTCCTCAGGGAAATCTCCCAAGCCAAGGAAGAAGAGGCCTGAGATTGGGAAACCCAGTGTGTCTGTGCCCACAGTGAGAGGGCAGCTGCTTGCCAAGGGCACAGCTGGCCATCTGTACCTGATCATATGCATACAGGGTTTGAAAGGCCTTCTCTTCGATGAGCTTTTTCACTTTTTCGACATCCAGCTCTTCTATCCTGTAGTTGAGGTCCCCCAGCCACAGAATCACACTGTGAGGACAGAGCACAAAGATAAGAGAGTTTAGAAGGAACATGGACCATCCTATCCAGGGTGCTTCTCAAGGGAGACCTCTGAGGCTCAGTCTCTTAGGAGCTAGGTGGGGAAGTCATCTGGTGTACAGGGAATTTTTTCCTCTTGCCATCCCCTTTAATACCATGTCTAACAAGCTGCTTATTCAATTATCTTGGTCCAAGTTCATTATAAATAGCCTTGAGTTCTCCTTGAATATTTTATTTTTGCATGGTTGAAAAGACAGACTACTAAGATCTAAAAGCAAGACGCTAACTTATCTCATTCTTGGGAAGAGGCAAAAAACAGAGTCACAGGGCCCCAAACCAGACGATGCCATGATTGCCTCTGCCTCCAGGCACACCCAAGTTCACAAAGCACCCTCTCTGCCTTTGTGTCTGGGCCGTGTTGCTCTGAAACAAAGCTCCACCTTTACAGTGGGTTCTCCACTTACCCACCACCCTGTTATCAGTTGGCTCTTTTTGCCTTCCTGTGCAGAGTGTGACAGGTGTTTTATTATACCTACTGCTTTGGGATAAAGAATGCCCCCAGATGCCATTACACATCCAAAGAAGTCTAATACTATTCTATCCAAACCCAACAACCATGTCATTAGAGAATCCGCACAGCAGTACACATGCCCCAAAATAAATGCAGCCACAAGCTAAAAGCAGACCAACTGACATGCAAGCTGCAACCTCACAAACGAGGATGCTGCAGGTTCACCGGAAAGGAAGAGCTCAGCTATAAGATGCTCCCCGCTGGGTTCCCTGGAGAATGAAAGCCACTCTGTCAGCTTCCAGAATACCAATGAGCTTCTGCTCAAGACATTCCCACCCCAGCAGGCAGGAAGAGGAGGCTTGACTCTGTTCACTCCCTGACAGACACTATGACCCCAGGGGTGTCTTCCTCTTTATAAAAGAAGTGGCACAAGCTTTAGGTGTTACCGTAAAGTCTGAAATTCTAATATGCTTTGAATTTAGACAAGAAGTTTTAGAGATAAAGAAAATAAACAAAAATTAGCACAAGGGGCTCCAAGAGCTGCAACTATAGCTTTGCAAAGTTGAATCAAGAGGACAAAAAGACTGTCAGTGAAGGCAAACAAATGCAGCCCAATTCCCAATTTCACATGCTTCTGGAAAGAACAGACATATTTGGTGTTGGATCAAAGCAGACCCAGATTTAAATAATCTTAGACATTTTCTGGAGACAAATGATGTTTGAGAAAGATTTTAGAGGTCTGCCAGATGGTAAGGTCCCTTGGTGGTGGAAATGGTTTGCGCTCAATGACTAATCTAAAGGTTGGTGGTTTGAACCCACCCAGCTGCACAGGGAAGAAAAGCCTGGTGATCTGCTTCTGTAAAGATTACAGCCAAGAAGATCTTATAGAGCAGTTCTACTCTGTAACACACGGGATTGTCATGAGTCAGAATCGACTCAATGACAACAGGTTTCGTTTATTTGGTTTTTGCCAGATGTTAAGTTAGGAAACTGAAAATTCCCAAAAACTATTAATTCATATGTAACTGAGAGCTGGCAGATACTACCACTCCTGCAGTGGGAAGCCTCCTTCAGTCACCTGCCCAACAAAACACAGGGCCTACAACTCTGCATATCAGACGAGGTGAAATGCACGGGGCAGACGCCCAGACTCACTCGTGCTTGCTGATGGTGAGAGGGGGCAGGCTTGCGTCAACCTGATAAAACTGCATTCGGGAACAAATGTCTTTATAGTCCTGGTTCCTCCTCTCATACTCTTCGGTGTGGGCTGCCAAATGAGAATTCACAATGCAGATGCTGGTGTTGTGGAACCGGAACCTGATCGCCACACCTCCTTTGTTACCCTAGGAAAAGGATCCCAAAACAGAAATCCAACTCGCATCTTGTGTCAGTCACTTAAACCCGTAAATTTTCCAAATGTTTTCCTCTTAATTGGTCGCCATAATAATCCTGTGAGGTTAAGTAAGGCAGCTGTTACTATCTATATCGTCTATATTTTACAGGTAAGAAAATAAATCCAAGAAGGCAAAATGACTAGCCCTCCAGGGGCAAAGCTGGGTCCATGACCAGCTCTCAGTCCATGTTTGTTTTTTTGTGTGGTAAATAGATACGTAACAAAACATTTGCCATTGCAACAAACTTCACATTACAATTCAGTGACATTAATTACATTCATCATGTTGTTCAACCATCACCCTTATCTATTCCCAAATTTTTCCCTCACCCTTAATGGAAACTCAGTGTCCCCTAAGCATTGTGTCTTCCCTCCCCCCACTCCGATCCACCCCTGGTAACCACTAATAAACTTTGATCTCTATGCACTTGCCTATTCTAGATATTTCATATAAGTGGGATCATACAGTATTTGTCCTTTGTGACTGACTTATTTCACTCAGCATAATGTTTTCAAGGTTCATTCATCAGGTCAGTCCATGTTCTTTTCACTAAACCACAGGCAAAGCCTATGTTCTTCCTTTTCCACATGAAGCTGAGCTCCTGCAGCAGAACCTGAAAGCAGCATTTTAATAGCCTCAAGAAGAAGAGGAAGTTGCACACCTACTTTGAGCATTCTTCCTTTTCCTTGATGACTCAACACAGTCTCTTCAAAATACTTCATGGGTTAAATGGGAGGATCAGCTGGAGGCTCCAGTGTTGCATGAACACAAGGATGCACACTAGGGGGGCAAATCAGCCAGCAACTCACTAAAACACAATTTATAAATAGTCTGCTCAATCTAGCCCTGTTGAGGGTACAACTCATCTTGCAGCACCAGCACCCTCAAACGTCACTGTACCATGAGAAGCTGAGTAAAAGCTCTGGGGCCCTCAGAGCACCAAACATACCAGCCAGGGACTCACCATCCTCCCCATGATTCCGGTCCCCACCGTCTCTGCGTCCACTTCTGAGATGTGCGCTGCATGTTCTTGCTTGACATATAACAGCAGCATGATCCCAACCAGTCGGATGAGCTTCACCTGGAAAGCAGAGCCAAACAATAGAGCCTATTCAAGTCATGGCATTAAACAGAAACTGAAAACAGGAATAAATATCCCAAAGCTGGCTGAGGGTATTGATGTATCTCCTTCTCCACATTTACAGGGCTTGACTCACTGAGCACACTACGTGATAACCTAAATAGCCTATGATGCTGCCGAGACCCTGCATCTTTTCCACCCAGAGACACCCCTCCTAGAAGATCTGGAACTGAAAATACGAGGACAATTACAACTGACTTACTTCACTCAGCATTATGTTTACAAGGTTCATCCTATGATACGATAAAGGCTGAAGGCAGTGGTGGTTCAGAGGTAGAATTCTCGCCTTCCACGTGGGAGACCAAGGTTCGATTCCCAGCCAATGCACCACAAGCACAGCCACCATCCACATTCAGTGGAGGCTTGTGTGTTGCTCTGATGCTGAGCAGGTTTCAGCAGAGCTTCCAGAGTAAGACAGACTAGGAAGAAAGACCTGGAGATCTACTTCCATAAATCAGCCAGTGAAAACTCTATGGATCACAACGGTCTGATCCTGTTGTGCTTGGGTTGCCATGAGTTGGATGGTGACTCGACAGCAGCTAACAACAACAACAACATGATAAAGTGAAAAATTATCTTACAGTTTCCCTGCATGGCACCATAAAATTAGGTGGCACGGTAGTTAAGCGTTCAGCTGCTAACCAAAAAGGTTGGCAGTTCAAATCCACCGGCCGCTCCTTGGAAGCCCTATGGGGCAGTCTACTGTGTCCTATAGAGTCAGTATGAGTCAGAATCGACTCGACGGCAATGGGTTTGGTTTTTGGTAACTCCTCTATTACCTTTGCATATTTGGCATCTGGATGAAGACCATCTGATACAGCTTTAAACCACTCTTCCTCCTTTGGGGTATCATGAAAGAAAAAGGCTTCCTTACTCAGATCAAGCTCCTGGAACCTGTGGGGAAAAGCAACCAGTTAGGGAGTAGAGAAAGGTAATATGACATGTTCCCAGATTGGTTTAGGTATATAAGTCCTAACTTTCTAGCTCAACTGTAGGACCCTCAGGAGGTTCCCAGAGGAGGGAGGAAAAATAAACACTTATTGCCAAGGAACTAAATGCCGAGGACCTTAAAGGTGCTTTCACAAACTTCAGCTCATTTACTCTTCATAATCAGCCTATGAAGGAAGTGGACGCATCCCCATTTTACAACTGAGATCACTGAACTCAGTCTCATTCACAGAAGTTCACATAAGCGCCAGTGGCAAACTGGAATTCAAACTTTTTGTTGTTTTTAGTTGCTGTTGATTTGGCTGTGACTCCTAGCGACTCCTGTGCAGTCCTTATAATTATGGTATGTTTCAGCCTACTATTGCAGCTATTGTGTCAATCCATCTCATGAAGGGTTTCCCTCATTTTCACTGACCCTCTACTTTACCAAGCATGATGTCCTTTTCTAGAGATTGGTCTTTCCTGATGATGTATCCAAAGTAAGCAAGATGAAGTCCCGCTATCCTCGCTTCTAAGGAGCATTCTGGCTGTACTTCCTCCAAGATGGATTTGTTCATTCTTCTGGCAGTCCACGGTATATTCAATATTCTTCGCCAATACCAAAAATCAAATGTGTCAATTCTTCTTCAATCTTCCTTTTTCATTATCCAACTTTTGCATGTATACGAGGCAATTGAAAAGACCATGGCTTGGGTGAGGCGCACCTTAGTCGTCAAAGTGACATCTTTGCTTTTTAACACTTTAAAGAGATCTTTTTAGATTTACCCAAATGGAATATGTTGTCTGATTACTTGACTGCTTTCCACTGCATCATATAGTTTTCTTTTGCTCCTTCACCCCCAACAGTGGCTAGTATAGTGGTGAGAAGACAGGAAGTGTGCAAAAAAAATGACTGATGGGGCTTTTTTTTTTTTTTAATTGTGCTTTAGGTGAAAGTTTACAGCTCAAGTTAATTTCACATACAAAAATTTATACATATATTGCTTCTTGACATTAGTTGCAATCCTCACAATGTGACAGCACCCTCCTCCTTTCCACACCAGATTCCCTGTGTCCATTCGTCCCTTTCCTGTCCCTCCCTGCCTTCTGATCCTGCTTTTAGACAGGAGCTGCCCATTTGGTCTCATATATCTGATTGAACTAAGAAGCACACTCCTCATGTGTATTATTTTTTGTTTTATAGTCCTGTCTAATCTTTGTCTGAAGAGTGGGCTTCAGGAATGGTTTCAGTTCTGGGTTAACAGAGCATCCAGGGGCCATAGTTTCGGGGGTTCCTCTAATCTCTGTCAGACCATTAAGTATGGTCTTTTTATGTGAATTTGTGATAGGGCTTTTTTTAGTTAACCTTCCTTCCCTGGCAAAAGATACGTTTACTTTGTGACCAACAAAATGTTGAATGTCTAAGTAATGAGACGCAGTTCAAGATGCACTGATTCTGACAGAGGGCTACACTAAAAATTAATATTAGCATTTAAATGCCAAGCACAGCACTTCTTAATAGTGCTTTAAAAAACCAGAAATTTGTTTAACATGAGGAAGAACATCAAACAGAGAAGCAGCTGCTATTAACTACATGCTTGTTTTTCAATTTCCTCCACCTGCTGTGAACACTCAGTTACATATTCATATCCCCACCCCTTCAGCCACAGCTATACATTGTTGAGGATGTACAGAGACTAGGAGAGAAGCACTCACCCGACACAGTACACATCTGGAGCCTGGATACCATGGCTTAGCCAGGGCCGGAGGCATTCTTTGGGGGACTGTCCATTCACGTTGTATGTTCCCACAAAGAACCTGTCACCAAAGAGAATCAATGACTAGGAAGAGTTTGCAGATGACAGAAAAAAGCATTTTATGCTGACTTGGCCTGGTTTCAGTCTCTCTGGAGTACTTTTAAGACATAAGAAATGTCATATCTAACCTAGACCAATGATTGGCACCAAGGGATGGCTTACAGTCTGACATGATATTTGTTGCTCTTGTGATAATAACAATAAACAGTACAGACATACTCTGAATATTCCTATTTCCTTTTAACAGCCATTATAGAGCCATAATCCACAAAATGCTTCTTTACCCTGTGTATTCTACTGAAATGAAAAACTGGAAAGTGTCTTGGTAATTACTTTCTGTAGAAAAGCAACACCAGTGTCCAAAAGGCTGTTTTTCATAATTTACCGTTTATAGCTCTAGAAATAATGTTACTTTGTCTTATAGCCCCATTGCAATGATTTAAAAAGATCTAGAGGAATCCTGAAACTTTAATTCATTGAAGTGTCAGTAATCTGTCTAAAAAGATTATGAAAATACCAACTAACTTCATTTTAACTGATGTTCTTCAAAGGCCCAGAATGACTAAGGGAATTAAAAAAAACCTCAGAGGAATAAACAAACATTAGGATATCACTCCCTCTTCTATACCCACATACCTCTGCAAATATTTCTGTAACCATTTGCAGTTGTGTCACTCCCACTATACTATACTCACCATAGTGCCCGGCCAGAACAGACACTTGCTAAAAAAGCATGAAAGTCATATGAAAAGATGGGAAACATCATAGGTCATTAGGGATTGCAAATTAAAACAACAATGAGATATCACTACACACCCATCAGAATGGCTAAAATCCAAAACACTGACAACACCAAATGCTGGCCAAGAAGTGGAACAACAGGAACGTTCATTCGTTGCTGGTATGGCCACTGTGGAGGACAGTTTGCCAGTTTTTTACAACACTAAACATAGTCTCACCATACGACCCAGCAATCGTGCTCCTCGGTATTTACCCAAACAAGTTGAAAACTTACGTCTACAAAAAAATCCATACATGAATGTTATAGCAGCTGTATTCATAACTGCCAAAACATGGAAGTAATCAAGATGTCCTTCAACAGTGAATAAATAAACTGTGGTACATCCATATAATGGAATATTATTCAGCTATAAAAAGAAATAAGCTATCAAGTCATGAAAAGACATGCAAGAATTTTAAATGCATATTGCTAAGTGAAAGATGCCAGCTTGTAAAGGCTACATATTGTACGTTTGCAACTATATAGCATTTTAGAAAAGGCAAAACAATAGAGACAGTAAGAAGTAAGTGGTTGTGGGAAGGGATGAATAAATAGGTAGAGCACAAGGGATTTTTAGGGCAGTGAAACTATTCTGTACGATACTATAATGGTGGATACAGGACATTATACATTTGTCAAAACTAACTTGTGTACAACAAGAGGGAACTCTAAAGTAAACTATGGACTTTAGTTAATAATAATGTATCAATATTATCAATATCAGTGCATCAATTATAACAAATGTATCACACTAATGCAAGATGTTAATAAAGGGAAAAACTGTGTGTGTCAGGGGAAGGGGACATATGGGAACTCTCTGTACTGTCTACTCAATTTTTCTATAAACCTAAAACTGCTCTAAAAATATAAAGTCTATTAATTTAAAAAAAAAAATCTTCCAAAAAAAAAAATCACTCATTTAGAAAATGATGGGAGACAGCCTATAAAATGATTTGCTTACAAATCCAGGGTACAAGGGGAAGTGTTTAAATTTCAGAGTGGAATGATCATTTTCCTTAGAAAACCACTGAAGACCCAGTTAGCTACCTGAAGTTCTGGAGATAGGTATAATCCTCTTCTTTCTGTGCTACCTGTGATTTCACAAGTGTATCTCGCAGTCCAAACTTCTGCATCGATAAAATATGAGCCTTGTGTGATACTGTGATAGTGGAGGAGCGAACCATGTCGGTAATTTCAGACTTGGATTTATTCTGTCTAAAAACATACACAAAAAAATTACCAGATTTTGATGAGTCCTCCATGACAGAACACGTGAATATTAAGCTCAAAGTTTCCACACACAAGCATCTGAGTCGCAAAACACTAAAGGAGGCCAAAGTAAAATTTATTTATTAAAACCATATTATTTCTATGTGGAATCAAGTGAACTTATACACTGTTGATTACGCAGTAATTATTGGGGATTTTTCTGATAATCACCGAAACCAAACGAAACCCACTGCCGTCGAGTTGATTCCGACTCATAGTGACCCTACAGGACAGAACAGAACTGCCCCTAGGGTTTCCAAGGGGTGGCTAGTGGATTCAAACTGCCAACCTTTTGGTTAGCAGCTGAGCTCTTAACCACTGCACCACCAGGGCTCCTTTCTGATAACAGACTCAAAATCTCAGACCAGGAGATGATCTTGAAAATCATCTAATCTAATCCCTTCATTTTTCATATGAGACCCAGCATCATCAATGATTCCCAGCTAGGTGGTGGCAGAGTCTGGATTAGAATTCAGACCTGACAGTGCACTTTCTGTACACTAGTGTCACAAAACAAGATTATAAAACTACCCGGATTCTCTGACTTGATAATTCTAGTTCCCTAAATCTATTAAACAAGGATAAATTCAAAATAAAAAGAAAGCCAACACTCACAAAAGTGTTTACAGTCTTATTGAAAATTATTCAAATGCAAACATTAAAAGTTAATCAAAATGTGACACATTTACCTAACAGGATCCTATATAATTGCCCAAGAAATATTTGTTAAAGATGACTTAATGAATTAAGATATACAAAGCATTTAATATTATCATGTACATACCAATTAAGTCTATGTAAAAATGTTATCTATGTATACTAACAATGCTCAAAAATGAATTGAGAATAATACAACTACATTTAAACTTCAGGGATTGTTCATTGTTATTTAAGCGCACAATTAAAATACTGACCAAGTAAGTGGTTTTCCCTTGGCCAGATGATTCTCACTATGATCAGTAGGGGGCACTGCAGTACAGATTAAAAAAAGGAGTAAATTAAAAAAGGAAAACCAAAACCCATTGCCCTGGAGTCGATTCCAGCTCACAGGGACCCTATAGAACACAGTAGCACTGCCCCATAGGGTTTCCAAGGAGCAGCTGGTAGATTCGAACTGCCAACCTTTTGGTAAGCAGCCAAGCTGTTAACCACTGAGCCACCAGGGCTCCTAAAAGAAACGGAAGAGAGATCTCAAAATGTTTCTAACCTTACATATTTCTAAAGTTGGGTTACACTGCCAGTTTCAAATCCTAGATCCTCCACTTGCTAGTTCTGGGACCTTGGTTGAGTTACATCACATCTCTTTACCTGAGTTTCCTGAGCTGTGAAACAGAGATGATAATGACCGAGCACTTAGCATGGTGCCTGGCATCACAGTTAAGTGCTCGCTAAATGTCAGCTACTGTGAAGAACATTTCTTAGGCCAGCTACCCTGTGACAACTTACAGCATGTGAGCAATGGCCTCAGTTCTATGGAGAAGAACCACAGTCCTAAGGGTATGAAATGAAGGGAGAGCTGCATTACCTTGTCAACACGTTTTCTGGTTTATCATGAGCCCAGGAGCCTTCATGTCCAAGCACACCTTTTCCATTTGGCCTTGAACTGTCAAAGTTAGAACCACCTAAAAGGAGGGGAAAGGAATTAAAATATACTTATATATACACTTTAACACATAGGTCACAGCTTCTGAATTTGTCATCTAGGAATTACTGGCAGTCCACATACGGCTTGAAAGCATAGGAAAGGCCTATACTGGTGTCTGGGTGAAGCTCCCACAGAGCATACAAAGAGGAAAAAAAGAGTACTTTATCTGGGTGTCTTTACTACCAAAGGCATAACAATTCCAGCTAGTCTAACTCCCTTATATTGGAGACAGAGTGCATTTTAGAAAAAATAAAACGATGGGATCTGAAAACCTAAGTTCTATCACTTTCTCTACTATTTATTGACCTTTTGACTTTGGGCAATTCATTTAATCTCTTTTAATCCCAGTTACTTGACTTGTCCTGCCCTCCTCACAGGTCTCCTGTGAGAATAAAGTGTGCTGACATGTGAGTAAGCACTTTGGAAGTCATGAAATGCATTATAAAATATAAGATAACGATCTTACTACCATCAACTGCCAGTGAGACTTTAACTCCAAAGACAAAGAAGGCAAGGGTCACAGATACAAAACCAGAAAGGTCTAAGTGCTCTAGGGAATGAGAGAGGTTTGTCCCAACAAACCACCTTGAAAACCAAAAAGCCTGAGGACTCCCAACAAAGAACTACTTTGGGAAAAATTTTAAACCAAGATAAACCTGAAAGGGAAAATCAATCCGCCAATAGCTTCCTCTGCTCCTTAAAAACCAAACCCCTTGTCACCAAGGAACAGCATGAAGAGGCCACACTGAATTACCACTGCTTCAATATACAAGTTATGGGCAGGATCACTGGAGGCATGAAAAACACCACTAAAGAATTTTGCTCTGAAGAATATTACTAAACATGGATTTTTTTCCAACTGTGCATTCACATGAACCAGAAAAAACAAACTTTGGAGTTGGAAAAAAAAAAAAAGACAACTGTTTGAAATATGAAAATAATTGCATTTCAATCCTTCCAATCAATCACCAAGGCCTTTCAATTTTGCTTCCTAAATGCCTCTCAAATCAATATATTCTTAACCCCAGTATTACTGGACTAGTCCAGGTTGTCAACACCTTATTTGGATGACTGCAAAAACCTCAGCTGGTTTCCTTGTCTGGCACAAACGGTTTGCACTTGACTACTAAGCTAAAGGTTCACAGTCAAACCCACCCAGCGACGCCACAGAAGAAAGGTCTGGTGATCTGCTTCCATAAAGATTACAGCCATGAAAGCTCTATGGAGTATAGTTCTACCCTGTAACAGTACATAGCGTCGCTATCAGTGGAAATCAACTCGATGGCAAGGTTTTTTTTTTATGCACTGCAGTAATTGCAGTTATACAAAGAGTCCATCAGAAACCAAATTTCGTCTTGCTGATTCTGCTTTACACGGCTAACTCCTACTCATTCAGTAGGCCAGGGGTTGGCAAACCATTTCTGTAAAGGACCAGAGAGTAAATATTTTAGGCTTTGTGGGCCATAGGGTCACTGTTGCAACTACTCTGCAAAAGTGCCCAAGAGCATGGTGGTGTTCCAATAAAACTTTATTTATAGACACTGAAATTTGAATATAATTTTTTTTTAGTTTTAGTTTCTGTATATTTACTTGTTCATGTCATTTCATAAAGATGAGAACATACAATATCTGCTTTTTTGTGATTGACTTATTTTGCTCAACATAATGTCCTCCAAATCCACATTCCAAGACGTTTTGGGAAAAATTCTTTTCTTTATTCGCTAAGTAGTATTCCATTGTATGTATGTACCACATGTTACTTATCCATTCATCCATTGATGGGCTGTAAAAATGGTGGCATGGTGGGGGCATCTGATCTCCTCTAACTTCACTAAGGAGAGAGAGAATCACCATCAGCATCAGCCCAAAGCTGATTCCTATGAGGTGCAGGTGAGACGTACCTCCTCTCTCCAACCGTTTTACCAACTCTGACACCAGCTGTCCCTCCCACGGTACTTTCTATTTCTTTGCTGGGTTCGGTAATTCATTGCAATGGCCACACAGAACTCACAGACCATACTTACAATTATGGAGTTTATTAGGGAAGCAACAGGTTACAACTCAGGATCAGAAAATGAATTAGGACACAGTTCTTCTGTCAGGACAGCTTCTCAGCCGTGCCCACAGGCAGGCCTCTCCCGAGCCCTCAGACTCTCCACCCTTGGCCCCTTGGGCCTCTTGGGCCAGCTGGTGTCTGCCCTACTCTGGCAAGTGTTACAAAGCTCTTTAGCTCCACCAGTAAGTTTCCAGGGGCACCCCACTCCACCAGTAAGCCTTGGTGCCTAAAGCACTCAGCTCTCTAGCTCCACAGGTCTGCTAGCCTAGCTCCAACAAGTGCCTGGAGGCACCCTACTCCACCAGCAAGCCTCCTGCCCAAAGGCACTCGCTCCATGGGCCAGGAAGCCCACTACACCATTGCCTGCATCCTGGTTTTGCTGCCGCTGCTGCCACCATTTCTCTGCTGCTGCTTCTCGTTGTCTCTCCCATCTCCGGTGCTACAGCTCTCTCTCTCTCTGTCTCCTGGATTTAGGAGGTTCTCAGCACAGGGATCCCAGGTCCAAAGGATGCACTCCACTCCTAGCTCTCCTTTCTTGGTGGTAGTGAGGTCCCCCCTTTCGACTTCTGGGATGGCTCATTTTAAGCCTTAGCATGATGGCAAAACCGACCAATCCCCTCATAAGGGTTCCATACACCTAATCTGCATGGTCCCACCCCCACAAGGGTTCCATGCACCTTATTTGCATTAGTAGCAAGTGTCCAATCCCCTTGGTGGGCCACATGCACCTTATGTGCATGGTCCCACCCAATCTTTTGGTGGGAGTTACAAGATCATGGCTAGAAAGGTCATATAAAAGCAATCCATCGCAATACAAGGACACTTAGGTTGTTTCCATCTTTTTGCTATTTTGAATAGTACTTTTGCTATTGTGAATAGTACTGCAATGAACGTGTGTGCACATGTCTGTTCATGTCACTTGGATTAGATCCCTACGGTATATATCTAGGAGTGGAATGGTTGGATCATATGGTAGCTCTACCTCTAGTTTTTTGAGGAACTGCCAGGCTGTTTTTTACAATCGCTGTGCCATTTTGCACTTCCACCAACAGTGGATGAGCATTCCAATTTCTCCACATCCCCTCCAACATTTGTTATTTTCCTTTTATCTTGGCCATTCTCATGGGAGTAAAATGGTATTTCATTGTGGTTTTGATGTGCATTTCTTTGATGGCTAATGATATTGAGCATCTTTTCATGTGTCTGTTGGCCATTTGTGAATATCATATAATTTTTATGTATCACAAAATATTACTCTTTTGATTCTTTTCAACCATTTAAAAATGTAAAAACCATCCTTAGCTCATGGGCAGTACAAAAACAGGCAGCAGATTTGGCCCACAGACCATAGTTAGCTGACTCCTGATGAAGGCCATATCTTAGAGGTCACTTTTTCCATGAAGCCTTCTCTGACCTCTCTTAGATGGGTGAGATGCCCTGACTTTGGCGTTCCCATTGCCCCCTGTACTTCCCCATTATAAGCTTGATTGCTGTGTAGTGTAACTGTTTGTCTTCCCAGTTAGACGGTAAGCTTCCTGGGGAAAAGACTCATCACTGTATCCCCACCATTCAGGACATCACCCAGCATGTTTTAAGTAGTGCAAATACTCAACAACTCAATAGGAAATACTGGATGAAGGAATTAGTGAACCTGGATCCCTTATGTGTCTTATAGATACATAACATCCAAGTTCAAGTCTGTAGATTCTTTAAGAATGTTTCAGGTAATTTTCCATTATCTTCAGCATACAAAAAAAAAGTATGAAGGGAAAACTATAATAGGTTGTTTCTAGAGTTCTACAACCCCATGGTCAGTTAATTATTTCAGGAAACCAAATCCCCAATTGGATTCCACTTCTCCTGCTGTACTCCCACTGATCTATAAAGCTTAGCGAACTAAGATATTTGAGGAAGTGAAAGACCTACTGGGACATCTATCAGAATGGCTACAATCCAAAAATCTGACAGTAGCAGTCGCTGGCAAGGATGTGAAGTAACAAGAACTCTCGTTCACTGCTGGTAGGAATGCAAAATGGTGCAGCCACTTGCAAGACAGTTTGACAGTTTCTTACGAAGCTAAATATAGACTTACCATGTGAACCAGAAATCGTACTCTTAGGTATTTACCCAACTACTTGAAAATGTATGTCCACATAAAAACCTGCATGCAAATTTTCATAGTGGCTTTATTCATAATTGCCAAAACCTAGAAGCAATCAAGATGTCCTTCAATAGGTGAATGAATAAACAAACTGTGGTACATCCATACAATGGAATACTATTCCGCAATAAAAAGAATGAGCTATCAAGGCATGAAAAAGCATTGATAAATCTTAAACGCATATTGCTAAGTGAAAGAAGCCAGTCTGAAAAGGCTACATACTATGTGATTCCAATTATATGACATTCTGAAAAAGGCAAAACTATAGAAGCAAGGATGGCGAGACTTTGTCTCAAATACTTTGGATGTATTATCAGGAGGGACCAGTCCCTGGAGAAGGACATCATGCTTGGTAAAGCAGAGGGTCAGTGAAAGACAGGAAGACCCTCAATGAGATGGACTGACAGTGTCTGCAAAGATAGGCTCAAGCACAGCAACGATTGTGAGGATGATGCAGGACCAGACAGTGTTTCATTCTATTGTACAAAGGGGCGCTGTGAGTTGGAACCAACTCAATGGCACCTAACAACAACAACATAGAGGTAGTAAACAGATCAGTGGTTGCCAGGGATTTGGGGCAAGGGGTTGAACAGGTGAAGCATGGGGGTTGAAACTATTCTGTCTGATACCGTAAAGGTGGATATATGACACCATGCATTTGTCAAAACCCAGAGAAATTTACAGTTCAAAGAGTAAACTTTAATACATGCAAATTTTTAAAAATCATTTAGGCAGTCAGGGGATCCCCAGATGGAATACA